CTCCTGAAGCTCTCAAAGAAGGAATACTTTAGATACACAAGTCACTTCAAGATTCTTCCAATTCAATATCCTGAGTACCTCTTTCTGTAAAGATAGTTATTTCTGTACAACAGCTAAAATTTTACTTTTTTTCTACTGTCCACAAAGTTCTAAAAACAGTAAACTTTTCACATTGGTAGTACTTAAATAATCAGGAATTAAATAAGACTTTCAATTCAACGTTGAGATAAAATAAGCAGATAAAGATGACAGGGATGCTCGGGAGACAGAGGCAGAGGCAGAGCAGTCTGGTCTACAGAGTTCCAGGACAGCCAAGGGGCTACACAGGGAAACTGTGTGTGTGTGTGTGTGTGTGTGTGTAGGGGGGGAACAACTAACAAAAGGATGACAGGGGCATGTATAAACTCTGCAGATGTAAGGATGGCTAGCTAGGACAGGCAGGGTAGATAGAAGAGAGAATCCAATTGTCCAAGGTGTCCTCTGTCCTCCACACACACATGAAATGAGTGCACACACATAAAAAAGAAATGTTAAAAAAAAAAAGCAAAATCTGATAGTGCCTTTAATTCTAGCAATCAGAAGGCAGAGGCAAGAGGTTTTCTGAGAGTTCAAAGCCAGCCTGGTCTGAAAAGTGAGTTCCAGGACAGCTAGGGCTGTTACATAGAGAAACCCTGTCTCAAAAACAAAAAAGCAAAATCTGGAGATGAAAACAATAAAGCTCCAAATCTATAGTGACTGACCCAAACACATTTCCAATTGCTCAAGAGACTTTCAAGTAATAGAGAAAAAGATGTACTACTACTAGCAAAGAAACAAACACTGACAAGAATGACTACATACCAATGTTCCAGTAAGTTCTATTTTAAAAGAGAATAGTTTACTCAGAGAAAAGACAGAGTCACAAAAAAAAAAAAATCACCAAATCTAAGAAGTTATTTTGTCCATTTACAAACTTCAGCAGTACAAAGAATTATGTGAGTTCATGCATTTGTAATGCTTTACTTTTTCTTTCCTCTTTTATGAATGGAGCAGGATCAGAAGAAATACTACAGGCTACCACCTAGGAAAGGCATTATGTTTCTCTCCCACCCACCTACCATCTTATACATACAAAAATGCTCTTTTATTTCCCCATCTTGCAAAAGCTGGGTGTACCACCATTGCGGCAACCGTCCAGCAGTCCACAACTACTTTAGGCTCCACTGTTAACTTAGCTATGTATCAATGAATGTGAAAGAGGAAATCAACTGACATTATGGCAATGTTCTAAAACTTGGAATGTGGTGACAGCTGCATTCTTTCAAATGACTTAAGAAAAATCACTTCATTGCACTCAATGATGAGTGAATGTTATGATGTGTCATCCCCCCCCCCAATAAAGCTCTTTAAAAAAATGACAGGCTGGAGAGATTGCTCAGAGGTTAATAGCACTTGAGGTTTTCAGAGGACCAGAGTTCATTCCCAGCATCTATACCAGGCAGCTAACAACCACCAGAGAAACTGATACCTTTGCTCACCAGCATATGCGTACCTGCACAACACACATAAATGAAAATTAAAAAAATTTCTTAAAAAAAAAAACAGCGAAAGACTGACAAAGAATGGTTAACAAAGAAATGACAGACTAGGGAAGGCCAGATTTAATGGCCTTAAACCTGTAATACTCAAATTAGAGACTGGCAAGGACCCGGAGTTCAAAACCAGTTGAGTCTATGTCAATTACAGGCCATTCTGAATCCTATCTCAAAAGAATAACAGACCCAAGAAGCCGGAGAGATGGCTCATTGTTAAGCACTGGTTTAACACTGAAAGGACCAGGGTTCAATTCCCAGCACCCACACAGCAGCTCACAATTGTCTGTAACCTGTATCTAGGGGATCTGACACCCTCACACAGACATACATGTAGGCAAAACACTAGTACACGGAAAGTAAAACTAAATTATTTTTTTGAATAATTAAAAAAAGAAAAAAATTACAGACCCAACATGTACTTCATAATTATCTCTAAAATACAGATCTTAGCCCAGCAGGCTCATTCGTAATAAATGAACAAATGTATAAAGAGGTCTGCCTCGAAAGAATCCCACTATTATTAGTTAAGTGTCCACTCCTTTCCCTTTGGGGCTTTTCTAACTGCCCCTTTCACTGTTCTTTGCCATTCCACAAAGTTCATATTATAAATTAATTCACTACCTGCAGCTACCTGTAGACTTAAAAATACTACAACACATCGCAATAGAAGTCAAAAGCTGGCAGCTGGTTTTGCAGAAATCATTTTCCTTTTCCAAAAGAAATGGGATAAGGGTTCCTTCTAGTTCCTTCTGAAGCCAGACTGTTCCAATCCCACTTTACACACGTTTCGCAGCCTTTACAGTTTGGATTACTTTACCTGAGTACATGCTCTGCCACCCTTTAACACCTCCCTTTCCCTTCAGCTGCTTCTTTCACACCCTAGGAACTTCATAAATGCTCTTTAGATGATGGCTATTATTTCCCTTCTTAAATGAGGGATATCAATCCCATCAGCAAAGGGCAAATAGCTCTGTGTCCTATTGGACTACCAGTACTTATAGCTGTTTTTTCCTAGGTTGACTGGTTGATGCCAGCAGCAATAAAAACAAGAGTAATCAACAACAACTCAGTAACTACTGGCCAGCTAACCAGATAAGGCTGCTTAAACACTAGCTCATAGCAAAACCATGTGTGTCAGCAAATACACTATTTCAAAATCGCCAATTTTCATCTATTACCCACCATCCAACCCCCACCACGAAGCTAGGTTGAAGTTCCTAAGACCTGACTTTAAGGCCCAACACAGCAAAAACAAACCAAAAACCAAATTATGTTTTCTATTGCTACCTGATTAAAATACTATGAAAGAGAGAAAATGGCAAGATCCCAAAAGTGCAAAACTATTTACAAGAAAAAGGCTCAAGAGAAAATACTGTAATCGGCAATATCCCAGAGAAATCAAAGGATACACTAGCTAGGAGAGCAGTGTAATCAATGAAATCATGAAATCAATGAATAACACACACACAAATGTTACTTGTATTCTACTTAATGCTGACATCTGAACATATCTAAAACACTTAAGTATTAATAAACAAACAACCTCTGTCCAAAGAGTATCATGACTGGTACTTTAAATACCGGGTCATTTCACTGGTCTTCTACCTGTGAAATCTGTATCCAAGCCTACTGAATGACTCAATGGATGACAGCCCTGAAAGATAACACAATTTTTCTGAATTGACAGGCTCTCAAATGTCCTAAAATTTCACTGTCATCATCTGTGGTTCTGAAAACTGTAGACAGAATCTTAAATCAACACCTTTCATGTGTTTCCAAAAAATTGGTGAGTCAGGTTTTTCAATTAAAGTAGAAATTGAAAATCATTGCGATATGAGATAATCTTTCCCAGCAATACATCATATGTAAACTTTTGAATCTGGCTGAAGTTTCTCTTCACCAGCACGGTTTTCAAGTTCTTACTAGTTTCCTGGTCATTTACTTGAACATCATCTACAGGAACACTCAAAGCAAAACCACAATAAAGAGCTTTGGCCTCAGAGGGATTCTACATGTAAAAAACATTACTCATAAATAATATACAGTTACTATTGATTTAAGTAACAAATATGTTTCTAAACTTTCATGCTGCTTGATGGAATCCCCGATTTTGGACAGCAGAACAAACCACACAGAAATGGGTTTTCCATTTAACTAAATCTATTTATTATGACACAAAAATTTGACATGAATTTTATTTAAATAAAAAAACAAAACCCAACAACAACCTACTAGCTGGGTGTGGTGACAACTGTCTACAATGCCAGCACTCAGGAGGCTGAGGCAACAGGATTGCAGTTCCAGACTAGCTCCAAAATGATGAGATGCTATCTTAGTAGAGAAAAACTACTTACGGGTAAATAAATTTCAGTTCTTGAGTTTTGATTCAAAAGTCTCATTTCTTAAGAGTTAGCGAAATTCTAAAACAGTCCACCAGCATCTGGGGCAAGTCATTCTAGTTACAGATTTGCAGCTCAGCCTCCTTAATCCCAAGTGAAAGTAAAGCAGAGACCCGGACAGAACATCCAGGTGGAACTACAGTCACACCGACATGACACCAACTCAAAGCAAGCACTTGCTGAAATGAAACTTTTGGCCAACAACCTCATTCACTTTCGGACGTCTTCTAAAGACAGTCTACTTAAAGGAGATTGAACTCTTAGGAACAGAAACCCCAGATAAAAATGAAGACACCTGGAAGACTATAAAACCAGTTTTTACATTTTAACGTTACCTCTAGAAGTAGCTCCAACTCATTTGCTATCACATGCAGTCAATCACTCATCAATACCAAAGAAACGCTTTCAATGTTGCACCTCAACATTTCACACTACTTCACCAATCTGCATAAGCTATTAAAAAACCAGACAAATCAGCACCCCCATGCACTTTCCCAACTCTCCAATATTTAATCTTCAAGTGCAAAAAAGAGGCATTTACAAGGAAGAAAAAGGCACAACCCAGTCTTATTGTACTTCCATACCACCATTAAACTCAGGAAAAAACTAATTCCGGAGAGACAAATTAAAACCCCTCTGCACATGGCAAAAACAAAAAGGTCTAATGTCCTACAATCCACGGCAGTATGCCCACTTCCTCTCTCCCCTCTGGGAGCCAATACCAACAAGCCAAAGGATGCAATGTCAAATAAATCCAGTGTCTGTCTGAAAGACGACGAAAACCTGGGGAAATTCCCTCCCATAAATCCTCTATTTAAGCACGAGGCACTGCACCCAACTGGAAATGGCAAGCAACCCCAACCAAATCCCTCATTCCCAAATGCAAATAAAAAGGGGGCGTAATCAACAAGTTGGCAAGAGGGCGATCAATAATAAAAGTACGACTTCCCTCTCCTCAGCACAAATTGATAAATAAAGCCAAAACAAATCCTTCCGCAAAAGCTAACAAACGCACGTCTTCCAGTACCTGGTGGAGGTGCCTTTCCGCACATCGCAGATGCTGCATTTAAAGGCTTCGGCGCTGTTCCTGAAGGTGCAGACGCTACAATCCCAAAAGCCTTCGTCTGCGGCAGGTTTCGCTTGTCTTTTTGGCCTACCGAGGAGCGAGGAACCGAAGGGAGGATGGAGAGAGGAGAGAAACAGGCGCTGGTGAGCCGTCGTCATTTCACAGGAATCCGACGCTGGAAACTTCTCGCGGCGACCACCCAACCACCCCACTGGCGGGCACCGGGGCAGGAGGCCGGCGGGCAGCGCGGAGCCGTGCGCCCCCTCCGGCCCCGGGAACCGAGCGCCTGGCGGCGACGGCTCACGCGGGACCGCGCCGGGCGCAGGAAGCGGGCCGACTCGTGGGCGCGAGCGCGGGGCGGCGGGGGGCGCGGCGCGGGCCACGGGCCGGATCCCGAAGGCGGCGGGCAGCCGGGACGGCCGGGCGGCGGCGCGGAGGGGGCCGGCGCCGCGCGCTGCCCGCCCCTGCTCGCGCCCTCCCGCCCGCCCCACCTGGTTAAATCTCCCTTTGTCTGGGCGGAGCGGCGACGGCGGAGGGCGGCTGAGGAGGAGCCGCCATGGTTGCGGCGCGCACGGCCGCCGGCCCGAGCGGAGCGACACCGCCTCCCTCCGCCCCCGGGTCTCCATCTTAGCGCGCCTCCCCCGCGCGGCCGCTCCGGCCTAGTCGCCGGCGTCCCCGCCCGCCGCGGCCGCCCTCCCCTTCCGCCCCCTCGGCGCCCGGCAGGTACCTGGTCGGGCTCTTCTTGTCGCCCATGGTCATGGACGGGCTGGCCCCCGGCGCCCCACAGCTGCGCGCGCCGCCGCTCAGAGGAGAAGCGCGGTCCGCAGCGTCGCGGAGCGGCCCCCGCCCTCCCGCGCCGCCCGCCCGCCCTCCGCCGATGGGCTTGAGCTCTGGCCGCCGCCGCCGCCGCTGCCGCCGCCAGTCTCCGGACGAGACTAGTCCCCGCCAGCGCCGCCTCCGCCGAGTGACTGACGAGGGGCGGGGCCGGGCGCCGCGCGTCATGCGCCAGTCAGCCAATAGGAGGGCGACGACCGGCGCCGTGGGGGCGGGGCGGGGCGCGCGGGAGGGCGGGGCGCGGCGGGGGGCGGGGCGGCCGGCGTGCGTGCCCGGGAGTGTGTGCGCGCGGGGGGCGCGCGTGCCTGCCGGTGGCCCCCGCGGCCCCGGCGCGTCTGAGCGTGCGATCCCGGCGGGGAGCACGTGGCCGTGGCTGCGGGTCCCCGCGGCTCTGTGGCGGCCCCTACTCGCTTCGGAGCCCTGTGCGGCCGCTGCTGGGACTCTCGCCCCGCAAACGCTCCGCTGAAGTAGTTCCGCGCAGTTTGCGCGCGCCGCGGGGGGCTGCGCCTCGAGGCCCGCGTCTCTGGCACTGCCGCTTTTGCCGTGCGGGGCTTTGTGGTCTCCTCCCCCGAGTGACCCTCCCCGGCGACAGCCAGCCCCGCACCCTTCTGGGCCCGGGCGCCGGAGGGAACTCTGGAGAGGGTGTGGCGGAGCCGCGGGCCCCCGCAGCCGAATTAGGGCGTTTCCCCCGGGAAGTTGCTGTTCAGATCCAGGCGACCACGTGCCTGCTTTCCAACCTCGTGCCGCGGCTCCTGCCCCCGAGAAATGAGGCTCCTAACGCTCTTCCCAGGAAGGGCACCGTGGATGGAAAGGACGCTGTCCTGTACCCTGCACTTAGGAAGTGCCAGGGCCCGACTCCATTCCCTCCGGCGTCAGTGGTTGGGAGGTGGGAAAGATCGGTACCCCTCACTTTCTGCCCTGTTCCAAGAGTGCTTTTGTTGTGTGTTCTGGCCCTCTATCCGTCCGTCCTGCCCCCCCCCCCCCGGCACTGGCAAGGAACCAAGGGGGGGGGGCAATGTCTGAAGGTTAAAGTAAGCCCCAGGTCGGGGAGGGACTGTATCAGTGGGTGATGCTAAAAGGTGGGGGCAGGGCTGGGGTGTGGAGGACAGATAAGATGCGCAAACTCAAAGTAGGTTCTTATCAGGCCTGGTTCTTGGGAGAAGAGCAGAGCTGGAAACCCGCTGAAGCTACAGGAGAGCGGGAAGCAGGAAGTCTTGGGATCTGAAGGGAGAGAATAAGAGGGAGGCTCTGTGACCAAGATAAGCTTGATCAGCGCTAGATGTCCTCCATACAGGCACACTCAGAAGGGCCAAGCTACACCCGTCATCAAGGGTCAACAACCTCCCAGAACTGGGCCACTTACTACTTTTTTGTAGTTGAAGTAGGAAGGATCCCAGGGTCAGAGAGGCCAAAGATAGCCAAGGAATGTGCATGTTAAGGCATGGCCCAGGGCCAGAAGATCTGGCCTCTAGGGTCGGCCTGGCACGCTTCCAGCACTCTGCCCCTGGTGCATTAAAAAAACAAGTCCCTATGGAGGGGGAGGCAGGGAACCGCTGAAGGGCTGCAGCTCAGTTCCTGCCTAGAGAAAAGATCCTGGATTAGATCCCCAAGCACTCCGTAAATACACAAAGAATGGGTAAAAGAATAAGCAATCCCTCTGCAAACCACATCGAGAAGGTAGGTAGATTTATGTAGAAGAAGAAAGTCGCAAACCTTTTTTGCCCCTCAGTAATAGAGTCATGGTGCACCACGGAGGTGAAGGTGTGCCAAGGTTTTTCACCAGCTCTGTGCAACCCAGCCCCAACCCCAGGTCTTCAATTTAAGTCAGCCAAGGTTAGCTCGGACTCTTCATGAACTACCCCTGGGGCCATATAGTCCGTCTGAGGTGGAACTTCTTCCTCCCCTTGGTAGAGATGGAACCCATGGCCTTGTTGGTAGGCAAGTACTGCTACTGAGTGATAGACTTAGGAAGCCCCTGACTGGCACTTCTTACTCAGCAGACAATCTTTGATTGTCCATTCTGTTGCCTACATCCAAGTTCACATTCCTTTCTTTGCTTAATCTTGTAGACTCCCATTGCAGCCACACAATCATTTATCCATAGGACATTTACATTTTCCAGGATGTCTTTTCACATATATGCATTTGTCCAGTGGTACCTTTTCAAGAGAGAGAGAGAGACTGTTTCTTGAAAGCTTGTTTTAAAGGAGAGTTTCCAGAATAAAGAGCTCGTTTCTAGGAACTTACTCGGAGACAGCAGGTTCAGGAATTTTGATTTTAGTCAGTAGCGGGAAATGAGATGCTGCCAGTGTCTTTCTGGTCAGGAGTGCATGGGACACCCTACCCCTAGATTTTGGAGGCCATGACCCATGGCAGGATGGCTCTAGGCAGAAGGCACTTCAACTAGAGCTAGATGGCAGGCAGACCTTCCTCCAAGTGTTGCAAGTGAGGCAACTGCCCTCCCTGGTCATCTGGTTCCTGTCTTGTACTTTTGCTCAAGAAAGGAGGGAGCTGGGCGATGGTGGCGCACGCCTTTAATCCCAGCACTTGGGAGGCAGAGGCAGGCGGATCTCTGTGATCTCTGTGAGTTCGAGACCAGCCTGGTCTACAGAGCTAGTTCCAGGACAGGCTCCAAAGCCACAGAGAAACTCTGTCTCAAAAAACCAAAAAGAAAAAAGAAAAAGAAAGGAGGGAAAGCGAGCGTGGTGCAGCTCAAGTTTAACCCCAGCAGCAGAGGTGTGTGGGTCTTGAAATAAAGCTAGCTAGGATCTATAGTGAGTTCCAAGGCAGCCAGGGCAACCTAGACCCTGTCAAAAAAAGAAGAAGAAGGAGAGAAGAGAAAAGAAAAGAAGAAAAGGAAGTGGAGAGGGAGAAAGAGCACTGGTATATGCCAAAAGAAGGGTCTGGAAAGTTGTCAGTATAGCTTGCTCCTATCTTTAAGTTTGCTACTGCTCCCCTCAAGCTGGTTTAGCCTGAATGCTCATGAATAATGGAACCTTGGACCTGAGGAATGCCTAATAAAGACGTGGTAAACGTGAGAGAGGTAAGCCATCTCCAAGTACCTCCAGGCTTGCCCCAGGCCGTCACGTATCACTCTGCTGGTCTGAGTCTCCAGCTACAGTCTAGGTTAGGGTTTGCATCAGTCTACAGTGAACTGAGAGTAGTGCAGGCTAAATGTGAAAACACTTTGTTATGCCCCAGGAAACTACCGCCAATAGATGGTTCTTAGGAAGATCTATTTTATTTGAGGAGCAGGTCTCGAGACAGAATTTCTCTGTGTAGCTTTGAAGGCTGTGCTGGAACTCAGTCTGTAGACCACAGAAACTCGAACTCACAGAGAAACGCCTGCCTCTGCCTTCGGTGTGTTGGGCTCAAAGGCGTGCGCTAGCACCACCAGGTCACAACTGAAATCTTAACCTCCCAAATCTCTGCCCTTCTTGGTTGGCTTTTCCAGTCACCTGTTGATGCTGTTCCCCCACCCCCCACTCCTCTTCCCTTCAATCCCACTGGCCCTGAAAGGTTCAGTAAAGTCATTGAGACCTCAGTACCCTGCAGCTTTCCCGGATAAAATCACTGGGGAGTTAGGAAAGGAACCTAGCATTGGGTGGAACTGGTGGGCACCTGAGTGCATTCTTAAGAAAACTGTAAGAAAACTAGTACCATATACTATTGTCGTTAGTCTGTTAAAGTCAGGATAAGCAGGAGTGGGGCACATGTCTCTCTATGATCTCAGCAGTTGAGATATGGTGTTAGGAGGCCCATGAGTTCTAGGCCAACTTGAGCTACATGAGACCCTACTTGGAAAAACAAACTAACACTCTCTACTCAACAAAGACAAAACAACAAAGAAGGGATACTGAAATGAACTAACCATCTACGAAAAGAAAAATGTCAAGAAAATAATCTCAAATAAAAAATAGTTCTTCCAGCCGGGCGATGGTGGCGCACGCCTTTAATCCCAGCACTCGGGAGGCAGAGGCAGGCAGATCTCTGTGAGTTCGAGGCCAGCCTGGTCTAGTTCCAGCTAGTTTCAGGACAGGAACCAAAAGCTACGGAGAAACCCTGTCTCAAAATTAATTCCAGGACAGGCTCCAAAACCACAGAGAAACCCTGTCTCGAAAAACAAAAAAACAAAAATAAAATAAAATAAAAAAAAAAGAAATAGTTCTTCCTAGCCTGGCAGTGGTGGTGCACGCCTTTAATCCCAGCCCTCGAATGGAGGCAAAGGCAGGCAGAGCTTCGTGAATTTTAGGCCAACTTAGTCTACAGAGTAAGTTCCAGGAAATCCAGGGCTATGTAGAGAGCCTCTGTCTCAACACAAAACAAGCAAAAAAGAATAAATGTCTAAAATATCCAGAAGAAAGTATAAATAGGAAAGTCTCCTAGCAGTATATAAAGATTCTTTACACAATGTGTGGGAAACAAGGGTTCAGGACTTGGAGTTGCAACTGGTTTGGTAGAGTGGTTCACCAGCACGCAGAAGCCTTGGGTTCTATCCCCCACAGCATGTAATAGCCCTAGGCTCCCTCCCCTGCAGCATGCAGCAAGTCCTGGTTTCCACCCCCCACAGCATGCAGGAGCCCTGGGCTCCATCCCCTACAGCATGCAGGAGCCCTAGGTTCTATCCCCCCACAGCATGTAAGAATCCTGGGCTCTATCCCCAACAGCATGCAGTAACCCTGAGTTCTATCCCCCACAGCATGCAGTAGCCCTGGGCTCCATCCCTCACAACATGCATCAAATCCTGAGTTCCATCCCCCACAGCATGCAGTAACCCTGAGTTCTATCCCCCACAGCATGCAGCAAGCCCTACGTTCCATCCCCCACAGCATGCAGGAGCCCTAGGTTCTATCCCCCACAGCATGTAAGAATCCTGGGTTCTATCCCCCACAGCATGCAGCAAGCCCCACGTTCCATCCCCCACAGCATGCAGGAGACCTGGGTTCTATCTCCCACAGCATGCAGTAAGTTCTAGGTTCCATCCCCCACAGCATGCAGGAGCCCTAGGTTCC